AGAGTGAAGCTCGCCGTCACGAACTTCCACCAGTCCTTCGCCCCAAGCGAAGCTGGTTCAGCGCGAACCGTACCCTCAGATGCTCCGGACATGAACACATGTAGAAGCATCCCTCAATATCAGAAATCCATCTCATCGCAGCGATCGGATCCTGCGTCCCGTCAAACTCTGGTGGCTTCGTGTTGCTGAACTCTCGAAGCAACAACGAGTCACCTCCCTGAGGCCTGGCAGCAGCCACTGCTGCAGTAGCTGCAGCAGCGCCGCAGCCTCAGTCACCGCTGCGTACCGCTCATCAAAAGTCTCAATCAATGTGGTCTTGATAGACCCAAACATCTCCGGAATCTCGGCTCGAATCGCCGCTGCCACCTCATCGTGGATCATCTGACGAAGCTCCTCGTCACTCACGCCGCTCGCCTCAGGTCTGTGGCGTGTCCCAACCATGATGTCTCTGAAATACAACATAATAATATCAGAAACTCGCTCGAGCATACTCGCACTCGATAACTGAACCCTACTTGTTCCTTAGTACCCTAAGGATTCTTACTTGGACTGTGCACTGATCCGGTGTCTTCAGTAGTACGGGCCCTATACTACCGTCCACACCGCATCAATGTTCACCCCAAGTCCTCCTCCTAGGATCCCAGATCACAAGTACTCTATATCTCACTGGCATAGGCTACCCTTCGGTAGACCTCTCATCAGCTCCTCACTGCTACCTACTCGCTCTCAAGCATCACATAGCAGCAAAATCCTTCCTAGGCTAAGGCATCACATAATCAGGCCACTCTAGTCCTAATATGAATACCTAGCCAACTCTAGCATGCATATCATATCATAACATATCTCATAACACATAATGTAAGGGTATTTTGGGAAATCACCGTTCAGGCGCTGGCTGATCGTACACACTGCTTCCTTCTGCCTTTCTCAAAATCTTTTACTCTCTTAGAAAAATTGTTATTTTATGAAAACTTTCTCAATTCCCCAGTTTGAGTTCAGATTCATCCGAAGATGCACCCGAATCCCTCAAACCAAGGCTCTGATACCAACTTGTAACGACGTAATTTTCAAAACAATTTTTCATTTTTAAATCATACTTTCAATCACACAATAATACAAAACATATGTATCCACTGTGTCATAACAAACATGTCCCAGAATCTCATAACATAAACTCTATAAGTGTGTACGGATCATGCCGGCGCCTTCCCCGCGATCCTCGCTAGTACCTGAAACACATAACACAACAACTGTAAGCATAAATGCTTAGTGAGTTCCCCAAAATACCACATACCACACATACGCCTTTCCAGGCCATAACTCTGTAGGATCTTCCGATCCATGTGTCTCAGGGGACTTCCGTCCCGAATCCTGGTAGACCTTCCGGTCCTACCCGTGTCGACCTTCCGGTCCTTAACCTCCAAACCTTCCGGTCCTTACCATACATAACATACATAGCACATACATATCACATAACCGCATATAGCACATACATCATAGCATACAAGACCTTCTGGTCACACATAGGTACCCTTCCAGGTACAGTATAGTGAGAAGACTCACCTCAATGAAGTCGGATAAACTCTCGTGCTCAACGTCCCGACTTAGCCTCCTCCTATTATTCAAATAACATCCCTGATCAATATTCTCTCAAAGTCTCATTCCTAAAGATTGGGTAGAAGACCATTCTACCCTCCCCTGAACTCTCTTGAATCAGTCTTGACCAGAACCCTAAGGTCAACGAAAGTCAACGGTCAAACTTTGACCCGACTCGTCGAGTGCACAAAGGCGACTCGGCGAGTCCATGCGGGTCCTCTGAATCCTTTCAGTCTCTCTTGGCTCGTCGAGTCATCCTTCCACTCGACGGGTTACACCTGTCACGAATCGCGGGGCAACCCCGACTCGACTCGTCGAGTCCACTTATGGACTCGGCGAGTTGCTTCCATGTTCATACTCAAATGACCTTCTAAGATCAGATCTGCTTCCCTAACTATCAGATCTACCCTTCAAATGTTCAAATGTCACGTAAAGGTGCAACCTTTACGTGCATGCAACCCAATCAAGCCAAAATGGTGAAATAACTCTAAAAATGGCAACCTAGTCCCCAATCTCTCATTTTCTTGCATAAAGTTGAGGGATAGTGACTCTATGGACCTCTCATGGTCCAGATCTGATGCTTCTAACACAAAAGGGACCTCATACTCACTAGATCTTACATAAAATGGAGGTAAAAACCCTAAAATCATGAAATCTATCATATCAACATGAAATAGAAAGGATTATATCTCCAGAGATGAACTCTCAAGATGATTAGCCCAGATCCAAGCTCCTTTCACGCTCTAGATGGGTGTTTCCTTCTTCCTTCTAGCAAAACCACACCAAAGTGATGTATTAGCCTCTTCTTGCTCTCAACTCTCCTACTGCTCTCTCTAGGGTTTCTCTGGGATGAAGTGGCCGCAAATGGAGGCCATATAAGGCCTTTAAAAAGGGCTCAGCCCGGGGATTTAGGGTTTCACTTAACAACGCGGACTCGCCGAGTCCACGTACCGAATCGTCGAGTCCTTCATTAAATCAGACAAGAAATGCGCGATCCTACTCGGCGAGTCTGAGCGCCTACTCGCCGAGTCCCTCCCTAAAATTCAAGATAAAAACTTAAAATAAGATACATGGGAATCCGGATGTTACAGTTATAAGTACGCAATTCTAAAAGCTCAATAATGCTTTTAATGAAATATGCAAGGACAAAAGTCAACTTTTATAAAACCCGCCCCCATCTCAAGCAAAAAGCACAAACCACTGCCTTCAGTCACCACCATCTGCGATGTCAATTACCCATCTCTACCACTAAACCAATTGAAAATCAACTTCGCCCAAAAACAAAATTGATTTAAACCTCCGATCTATTCACACTGATTTTGCACGATTCAAGAAGAAAGGGGCTTGGTTACAAGATCCCAAACTTGCTATTCCCTCCATGTAAGCTCTTTTATTTTGGGGAAAACTACAATAAAGTCCCTACATATTGGCCTCATAATCGATTTAGTCCTAATATATTTTTTATTCAATTAAGTCTCAAATACCGGTAATCGTATTCAATTTAACCCTTGACCCGATCAACAGGTCATCAAAACTTTCAAAAATACTTTTTGGCCCAGATTTCAAATTTTATTACAAGTTGGTCCATAATTACACTTCTAGCCCATATTTAAACTTGTTACAAATTTGGTCCAAACTTTACCCTTTTTGCCCAAATTTAGAATTTATTATGAATTCATCCTAACTTAGTTTTTTACAAATTTCTTTCTCAAAAAAATTGTTCTAATATGTTTTTTCTTATTAAAATCATGTTTATAAAAAAAACATATTTTCCCATAAAAATCTTATATTTCTATATAAAACCTTTTTTTTAAAAAGTTTTTTGTTTATGAAATATCTAGTTATAAAAATATGTATTTATTAAGTATATAAATATATACACATCTGTTTTATAAAAAAAAAATGTATACAAAAAACGTATTTACAAAAAAAAAAAATGTTACAATCCGTTTTATATTAATACGTGTTTGATATATTTTTTTGTTAATACGTTTTTGTATACATTTTTTTTATAAAAAACGGATTTTGTATATATTTATATACTTAATAAATACCTATTTTATAACTAGATATTTCATTACAAAAAACTTTTTATATAGAAATATAAGATTTTTATGTGAAAATACGTTTTTTTTTGTATAAATTCATTTGATACAAATCCGTTTTTATAAAAAAATGTATACAAAAAACGTATTTTACAAAAAAAAAATGTATACAAATCCGTTTTTATATAATACGTGTTTGTATACATTTTTTTTGTAAAAATACGTTTTTGTATACATTTTTTTTATAAAAACGGTTTGTATATATTATATACTTAATAAATACCTATTTTTATACTAGAATTTCATATACAAAAAACATTTTATATAAAAATTATAAGATTTTTATGTGAAAATACGTTTTTTTTTTGTATAAATATGATTTTATAAAGAAAAAACATATTAAAAACAATTATTTGAGAAAAAAAGTTGTAAAAAAAACTAAATTTAGGATGCATTCATAATAAAATTCTAAAATTTGGGCAAAAAGGGTAAAGTTTGGACCAAATTTGTAACAAAATTTAAAATCTAGGCCAAAAGTGTAAATTTTGGACTGAATTTGTAATAAAATTTGAAACCTGGGCCAAAAGTGTAATTTTTGAAAGTTAGATGACCTGTTGACCGGGTCAAATGGTTAAATTGAATACGATTACCGGTATTTGGGACTTAATTGAATAAAAAAATATATAGGGACTAAATCGGTTATGAAGCCTATATGTAGGGACTTTATTATAGTTTTCCCTTTATTTTGAATGCTAATTCTAATAAAGTTTCTAAAAAAATGAGTTTAACGGTAACATCATGTTGAAAATGACATTTATTCAACAACAAATATGAATTTAATAATAAACAATTTACATAAAAAAAATAGAAAAATAATTAAATAGTACAAACATGGTAGTTCATCATCCATAAAATCACATTTTCCCTTTGGAAAAAAATATAAAGTTGCCAAATAAAATAATACCCCATAAAAAGGGGAAAAAACATATCATATATGCATACTCTTAAATTAAATTTGATGGTTTTGGCATATTGTATCTGACCTTTTGTTTTATTTTCCGTTAGTACCATAAACTTTTGTTTTATATGTTACACGTCACATCAATATATTATCGAATATCGCACTGACCAGTAATAATCATTTAATTTTGTCAAGTACGTATTATGAATGTCGATTTTTGTGACATGGTGATCACAATGTTGATATGAGCATGTCAAGTCATCGAGATGCTTTACGTCAATAGTTCTTAAGACAGATTTGTACCAAAAAAGCAAGCCATTTGAGGCCTAAATTTTGAGCTTATTTGGTCCCACACATGTCAACAATCTACTTTCCTTGGTAAGTGCATATTTAACCTCAAAAAAACACAAATACTTGATACTTATTATATCAATTAGCAATACAACATTCGTATACAGGTGTTAAGTATAATAGTATACGCTCTCCTGAATCCAGTAAAAATCTTACCTTTCATATTCTATCTTCCACACATTAAAAATTTGATACTTTACCAACTCTTCAGTCTTCATACCTACAAATTATCATCTGAGTTCATCTTTCTGGTCAACTTCACTGCTTTCTTTAGCATCATTGTAAGTAGGTTTCTGGAGATTAAAAGGTACAGAAGCATGTTTCTTCATGAACTTGTACAACGCCACTACTGTTCTATCAACATCTACAGTTATCTGCCATTCATTTTTGTAATTTATTAATCACATATTATCAAATCATCAAAGTATAAGAAGCATAATAATTTCTCTCCCAAAATATCACTTACAGGATCAAAGGTTTTGTTTCCTGCTGGATAGAATAGAATTGTTGGGTACCCATCAGCCTTCAAAAATCCAAAATCCAAAATCAGAAATCATGTTTGGACTTGATTAAAACCTTCAAGATCCAAATAATTAAAAAAAAATGTACCTTTGCCTTTGGATGTTCATTTGTAGTTCCATCCATCTTTGCTATTACTAAAGAATCGATATCATGTAAATGTTTAGCAAGTTTGTTGTAAGTTGGTTCTAGAGCTTGACAATGCCCACACCATGGTGCATAAATCTACATATAGATAAAAATGGGTTATATTGTAATTTCTGATTCCATTCCATGATGGAATAGACCATTCCATTCCTTCCTGGATTCCATCTTACCTCTAGTAGAACGTCTTTTGACTCATCCAAGACAATATCATCGAAGTTATTCCCAACTACTATCTTTCACATCACCATCATTCTAACAATCACCCAAAGAAAAAGTTATAACTCACTCTTAAGAATAAATATGTAGAAATCAAAATCTCAAAGATAAGAACTTACATTCTCCGGAATTGGATCCGATTTATAGAAAGCTTTAAGCTTTTCATCCAAAAAGCCCTCCCCAAAAGCCTGGCAATTTGATATAAAAAGGACATTAAGACATCAAGAAACACCCAATTGGATTCTTACATTGTTAATTTTAATACCTTAAGGTTTTCAAAGGTCAAATCTTGGTCAAACACAAATTTCTTCCCATCATCATTTCCGGTATATCCGATGACCTGGTTAAGATATCCAGTACATACTTGTTATTTGTATTTTATTTTGCAAAAAGTTAGAAAAGAAAAAGAAAAAAAAGAAAAGAAAAGATGGATAATGGAGAAGTGCCCTACTTGTGGAGCATCTCCTGTGATGCCAAAATAATCTACAACAGGCTTACCAACATCTTCATTGTCCAATTCAATATATACAAAGATAAGCTGCTTGATAACAAATAAAAAATGTGGAATTATTGAATATTTGAATCTGTTATTTGGGTATTATTTTGACATTTACAAAACTACTAATTTCATATACCTTCCCCTTAAATAACTTTGCAGCATCCACAAATGTTGGGAAAACCTTAGTTGAACCATTTGAAGTTGCAAATAGCAACACCTGTTTCTTTATTGGGCTTTCAAAAATCAAAGTTGCACTTTCTCTTGAAAAAAGTTGTCACCAGGGGAAGTTTGTTTGCAAAAACAAACTCCTTAATGGCAGACTTGTCAAACAGACCATCTGTATGAAATTGAACGAATGAACACAAAAAAGGGATAAAGACTAGTTCCATCATCACACCATGAACATGAAGGTGATGCTAATTGCAGAAATAGGTGAAGAAACTGACCATGATGGGTGACTTTCTCAGCATCCTTCTTTAACAAGACCAAAGCTGGGCGTTTGACATCAGGATTGATGTGGAAAAGCTTGGCCACATTAGGATCTACAGTTTGATAAAAGTTAACATCATCATCAAGCTTTGAAGCTTCAGCAAGTTCATCGCTTTCAGGACCCTGTAAACAGAACAATTCATAAAGAAAATGACTTTCATTCGAGGGCTCAAAGATGGCAGTTGTCTGTAATATTTACAAGAAAACTGTAAATGGCGCAAGATATAAGCTGTATTGCTGTAATATACCACCAAAGAGTTGAGGTAAGCCAAAACAACTTTGTCCTCTGATGTAAGCACTTTCTCTGCATCTTCTGCAGTTGTTATGTTATACACAGCAGGTCCTGTCTTTTTCTTTATCCAAGTTACAATAGCATCTCTGCAATGCAAAACACCAGAAAAGCAAATTAACTTCATTGATCCCATAATTTCAACACATAAAATCATGATTCAAACACTGAGGTGGAGAAGGAGAGACTTACTTGGTTCGTTGGCCAAGGTAAGGCTTGTGAACACCATCAACAAAAAAGAGAACAGTAGGAAATCCTTGCACCTCATAAGTCTCAGCTAGGTCATTCTCCTCTTGTGCATCAACCTTAGCAAGCACCACCGGCTGTCCTTTCAGCTCCGTGGCTGCAGCGGGTACTCTGGCGCGAGAGCTTTACAATGACCACACCAAGGAGCGTAAAACTCCACCATCACAAACGGTTACTCTCCACAAAGTCAGTAAAGTTGCTTTCGGTCAAAACAACAACGTCCTTATCATCAATCGACTCGGAGAAGTCGTCTTCGTCCTTGTAATCGTGCGAGGGTACTTCAAAATCGTCGTCTTCGTAGTTGTAGTTTTCGAAATCGTCTTCGTCTCCGGAGAATTCGTCAAAATCGGGAAGATCCGGGTCGATAAGGGGGTCTGTCGATGTGGTTCCATCTTCTGGTTCTTCAAGAAAGCTAAGGTCTTCGTCATCGTCGTCGAGGGCGCCTGCACTGGGGTTAGTTTTGTTTAGATTGAGAAAGTGAGGTGAAGTGAGCTAAGATGAGGAATGTGGAGAGAAAGAAGACGATGACTAGTTGATTCGCCATTGTTGACTTGAGTAACTCAGAGTAGAAATGGATCCACACACACTGGACACAGTTCTAAGATCCAGGAAGGGGTTTAAGGGTAGTATAGGGGGGAAAGTGAAACAGACGACGCCGTATGATGACGTCATGTATACAATAGTTTGCTTTTTGCAACAAGGCCCTTTAAGTAAATATTAATCATGAGCTTGCTCAAATATATAAAAAAAAGTTGTATTCAAAGGGATTAATTGGACAAGTAATCTCACATTTGTGAGCATTACACTTTAACCAATTTTATTGTATCTAATTATGTTTACATTAATATTTATTTTTACCCAATTTCGTGAAAATGAAATTATTTGTTCAAGTAATAACATCATTTCACGAAAAAAAGATTCATGGAATGTGATATTATGACAAAACAATTTGTGAAAGGAATTATCATTTTGTAATAATATTAAAAATATGGGCATTTTGTATTATAACCTTATCTTATATTCATTTTTTATAACTCTAAGAAATCCAAGATTTAACTGTATTTGAGAGTTTTTTGGTCAAATAAATATGAGAAAGTCAAATAAGTTATAGGACAGTTTTTTTGGCCTAATAAATTAACGTTTTTTATATAGAGTTTTATTATTACATAGATAAGTTTTGTGGCAGCTAATTGAAATAAATCAAAATATGAGGGGGTTAAGTAAAACTCCTTTTAATTTTTACTGAAAACCAAAAGCGCGATTTGCCCCCAATTCCAAACGCGGTTCTTTGTTAATTGAGAGGAAGACGCAGTGCAATCCGCCTTCATCAGAGGATCGATTCGATTGTTTCAGAGGCAAAACAAACAATGATCAGCATCCTTGCTCAGGTGATTCTTAATCTTTTACTTTCTAGGTGCATTCATATACATTTGTTATGTCTTTAGGCACACGCAGAAATTATAGGGTTCGTTTTTGGTGGATGTTATTGTAGGAGCGTCTACTTGGCGCTGCCCTAGGAAGTGTATTCGCCGGAGCTGTTATTTTTGAGCAACGGAGAGACATCTACAGGACGATCGCACAGCATCAACCTGCTAAATCTCAGGTCATTTCACATGGTTTCTCGTCGGAATTATTTCAATTTTTAGTTTTTATGTTTGTGAATTGCGATTCTGCATAATCGGTAGGTTTGATACGATTTGGTTTACATTGCAATCTAGGTTATTAATCTTTACGAAATTAAGTAGAGTGCTTGTATAATTTAGATGAATTATGGCTTTTCTTTGTAGTTCTGATTAATGATACTCCAATAGAGAGAACCATCAAAGAATCGTTGCCAGAAGTTTGAGAATTCTCCCTTTAAAATTATCTCACCTTGGTCCACAAAGTTTTCAATATGAAAATCCCATAATTCTCCTCAGACCTTCTCCTGTAGAATCCACCAATTAACCAATACACTGTCCTACCATGTCATGCCTTTATCTAAGAAGAAAGTGGGGGGTTTGAGAATCATATTTTTGGCTAGATTTTGTCATTTATTGGTTGAAACTTTTATATTGATCTCAGATGAAAGAGCATATTCATAGCAAGAAAATCGAGTTTGCACACTATTGGAACAAATCAGTGGATCGGATTTTTGGACCAGCTATCCAGGCTCTTAGCTCACGTCGCTGGTAGAATTAATAAGTTACACAACCAAATTATGGAGATGTTATTGTTATATTTTCATATCCAAATGCCTCATGTTTCAATTTCATTATGAGTTAGTTGTTCCATTGAGGCCAACTGTTATACTTCCTGTCAGTGTCATCATAACTGACTTTTTCTATCTGTATTATTCATTCTGTGAAATTCATAATTACATGCATAAATCACTGAATAAACTGAGGAAGAAATGTAGAACAACAGGTGAAAAATAACATAAAACTTAGGTACATTGAGCTGAGGGTATAACTGTACTTTTTTTACTCAAATTGGCTCGACGAGTGGTCAGTGTTACCACATAGTAGACACCCATAGCTAGGAGAAGAACCACAAATACAAAACTAGAAATTATGGCAGCAATGCTTGCACTTCCAAATTTACCCCTATGCTTCTCATTTTCTGCTCTGCTTTCATTTGCTAAGCTTGATTCAACTGTAGCTGCTAGAGGCAAAGGTGAACAGTTAGATTCTTGTTCTTGACATGGGTTTTGAATTGGGTTGAAAAATTCATAAGCAGATGGTGGTAAAGCCATGAGTGGGTTTTGATCCAGCCCATGAAGGGGTCGATCTTGAGCTCTTGAAGTAGTGAAGAAGAGCAAGGTTAGAATGGTAATTGCTCTTGGTGTCATTCTTGATTTTTGTTAATGGAATTTGGGATTTGGGTGGTATATATAGTGGTTTTCTTGGTTAGGTGGCAGTTGCATGGCCTATCAGTTTTTGTGACATGAAATGTCTTTAGAAGGGTGAGTGAGGGAACAAAATGATGACTTTAAGTTCTTCCATGATAGCAAAAATGACCATAATACCCAGATTGCCCTTTCCCATATCAATATGTAGCTTTTTTAATAGGAAAATTTACTTATTAATGGTATGCCCCAGGATTGGTGATGAAAGGTTGGTAAAATAATGTAGTGGCTGAGATTATTTCTTATGCATCTTTGATAATGTAAGGAGGAGCACTTATGACTTGGAAGGGGTAAAATGGTCATAAGCTTAATAGAGTGAATGTGTGTGTAATTATTAATATTATGGCCTTCCTTCTTTTAGCCCCATGCCAACATCATTTGACTATGCTCCATACCTCCTAATGCTTGTATAATATTATTTGAAATCATTGAAAGTTCATATATGTTCTTGTTGCATGTATGTGCTTGTGTGGCGTTATTGTTTGAAATGAACTGGTTGTTGGTAGTCGAGAACAATGAGTAATAATGTTTTAAAGGGACATACTTGTAAAATAAAATGAATTTTAGGTATGGAAGTAATGGTCATAACCGTAGAGATTTAAAATTAACAAATTTATGCAATACTTTCACCTACATGGAATGGTAGAAGTAATAAAGTAAAGGCAGATAGGGTTTGTGTAAATATGAAATACGCACATTAACTATAATAATGTGTATGATTTTATGTCCCCTTTTGCATTGGTTTTGATCTAGATCATGTTATCAATTTCCGGTTGTCTAGAGTGATTTGGGCACAAACAATTTCAATCCCGCGAAACTTATTTTTCACACATGGTTTCAAAGCCCACTAAAAACCAACATGATTTACACGGATTTCTTAAATTCACTAGATCAGATACTTTTCAAGGATCCAAACACTCACATTGGTCTCTAAAAATCGCCATATCTCTTCTCTTGTCCCTTCTCCTTGAAACGATGTTTTGAAGAAAAAAATGTGAAAACGACGACATCCAAACACTTCATTTGCACTGGCCAACACAGAGAATAATATTGCTAATGATATAGTAATTCACTATTTATTGCAAAACGAAAAAATAACAACTTAATAGGACATTCTTCATCTCAAATCGTAAAAGTTATTTAATTATTCCACA